GGATTAGGGAAATTTTGTTGGGAAGTAATTAAAATAATAAGCTAGAAAGCAAGAAATATGCTTCTAGGAGTCTGGGAGCAGGAGTAAAGGAAAGGAAGTCAGGTTGGGTCAACACAAAGGATGCAACCAAAATCTCTACACAGTAAGGAAAACCTAGAAAAAAGGATGGTGCCAGGGACATAAAACAGGAAAATATCAAGTCTTAATCGTTCATGAAGCCATAAATAGAAGTCACATTTTCCCTTAGCTCTTGTTGTAGAGAAAAGGAAAATCAAAAACAATTTTCAGGGGTTCTTCTTTCTTTTTCAATATCTCTCTTTCCAATACCTGGTTTCTGAGTCCTAAGATAACTATATTTTGCCCATCATTAATGATAAACTACCTAAATTCATGTATTCAATCATGTATGCACGTTCTTTATGGGGTAAGTTTCTCTGCCGTATTTATTGGAAAAAACCTTGCACCATTCACAATGCTTACCTACCATATAGTAAGCACTCAATAAACATTAATTGAATAAAAACCAGTTAAATGTCTGTTGGCATGACATCACAACTTTAAAGAAAATATTATAATCTGCCAGTTAATTCACAAACATAAATGACTAATATCAGAATGTTTACAATTTTGCCATAGGTAATAAGACTAAGATGCATAGAGGGCCTGAAGTAGAAAGAGGCACAGATCCACAAAAGGACAGCTGGGAACACAGAAAACAAACAAAACTCTTCAGAGACTTCACAACTTTGTCAAGGGAAGGTTCTGTTTACCATCAGCTGGGAGGGGACAAACAGCAGCTTTGTGAAAATATGTTTGTTGTGTTTACTGCCAAGATGCAAAGTTCAGTTCCAGGAATTTGTGGTGATTTATTGTATGTTTTAAACAATCTATACAGAATTCTTTTTTTGTTTCAAAAGATTATTTTTATCATCTTGGCCATATTTCCTTCCTAATAACAGATCATTAAGTCTGTTTGAAAATGAGGGAACAGAAAATTAACCTTGGTTTCAAACTTTGAAAAAAAATTGTTTAAGCAACCTATGCTTTGAAATATCACAATACTTTATGGGAAATTAATATTAGAACACAGAAACCCAGATCAAATTATAAATCTACTTTTCTAGAAAGTCTCATCAATTTTCTAGAGGCGAACTTATAAATTCAGATTCTATTAAACAATTGGATCTCCTGAAAATATGGGGTATTCATTGCTTTTTGATTGTGTTCATCTCAGAAGCATTGATAAAATATCCCCCTTTGCCAAGCATATATCAATATTTATTTTGGCTAACCAGCTGGTATTTAATAATTCAACACTACTTTATTACTTTTCCCTGGTTTATCTATTGCAGCGAAGATGTAATTGATTTTCCATAACTAAACCCCTAACCCTTTTTATCATTTCTACTCTGCCATCTTAGACATATTAGAATAATGAGTGGTCAATGGTAAGAAGGGGAGCAGGAAGGAAGAAAAAGAACATAAACAGGACAGATGTTGCAAAAATTAGGGTAGTAGCCTAAGGTCTATCACAGGAGTTCCAAATTCTGGTCTACCATGGAGTGACCTGGGAATCAATTTATTCATCTATAAAATGCATGTGCTGGATTCAGTTATAGCTAAGATTCCCACTGGTTCTGAAGCACTGCATGCTACTATCTGTGGGATAACACCGCTTTTCTGTTCACTTGAAGCTCCTCATTTAAAAACAATAAGGTATCACTCCTTCATTCATCCAAATGTGAGTGATTATGAGCATCATTTCTAGCTGCAGCCTGGGAAGTGCACAAGTCCTAACAATGCCTTAAAACTGGCATGATCTGTGTCCAGGAGGGAAAAATGGGCTGCGACACATACTCACAAGGCCTGCACCACAGGCTGAAAAAATTAGGCCTCCATATGTCTAAATTTTTGAACAGCCTGGCTGACTTTTGACCTGACTTAGCATTATTTGAAGCAGTGTACTGACACTGCCAATAACATCATTCATAATAGGGCACACATCTTATAACTGAACCACAGATAGTGCTGAGCAACATAAAGAATCCAGGCAATACATATGTACAATGTAAACTGCTAAAACAGAATAGCTACTGAAGGTTCTGCTAGTACGTACACTGATTGCTTCTCTGAGGTTGAAGAGCCAGGTTTTAGGATTCTTCAATGGCTGCAGCCATGGTCTCGTTTTAAAAAGCCTCAATCATTTCTCAAGACATCACATGTAACAAAAGGCTGCATCTATTTCTGTCAATACAGAGCTAGCCTAATAGTAGTAGATATGTTTAGGGCATAGAAATAAAGTATGCCTTCCTGAGGTTGGATAAAAGAGAAAAACAGCCTTTGAGAATTAGTAGGTACCACTCTAATCTGAAGCTTGTACTGTCCTTTTCAATCCTAGCAAAGAAACAATTAATAAAGGAACCCATTAAGACCTGATTATTGCAGCTAAAAAAGGAAGGTAGAATTTCAGTCCTTTGAAGTAACTGAGAATGATTCAGGCCTCATTACAGAGATATAATCTACATTCATACATTTATGTTAGCGATTCAAATCTATTGGGAGAGATTGAATTCCGTTAAATAGTGCATCTTTCCTGTGGAACTTTTCTCAGGCTTTCTCGGGCTAACCTAAGAGGTGACCTAACAATGCAAAGTAGTGGGGTATTTAGGGATTCAGCTGTGCTGTAAAAGAAAGGCTGTACAGAAAAGAAAAAGAAGAATGAGATATAATCTAAAAAGCTATGTCAGCTTTTCCTTTGGGCTGTTTTGTAAATGCCCTCTTGTCATCACGCTGTACAGAAGAGTGGCGAAGGGGCTCTAGAACTTTCAAACACTGCACCTGCTGCAACCAGATTTTAATATGAAAGTTTAAAGACATCTTTTCCCACATTTTAGACAGAAAAAAAGAGAAACTCCTAGCTAAAAGGTCTGAATAGCTTCTTCTACTGGAACATAAAGTTGGTAGATTGTGTGTGTGAGAGAGGGAGAAAGAGACTCGCTTTGGATTGGAGGGGCACATGTCTAGGGTGAGTTTAACAAAAATTTTTAAACCCCAAGGTGGCATCAATAGTGTTGGTTCCTATTGTAGAGAAACCCCAAAATAATAACTTCCTGTGTTTTGTAACTTTTCACAGCAGAATCTTTATTGTTTGGTTTCACCAAACATAATTTTGTAAAAATGTAGTTTTAATTAGTTGTAAATTCAAACATTTGGATTCTTCTGGACCATTGGCCTGAAATGCAAATCCACGGGAAACACTACACTGTATTTCAGGCGTTTGTCCTCTCAGGTATAAAACTGTGAACTAAAACATTGAAATTAGCACTGTTGGTTAATTTTTCAGTATCCTAAAGAAAAAGACTTGTTTGATGGATGCTCTTTATTTGCTTAACTTTCCAATTAATATCTACAGAAATTACAGCTAATTATATTAAACTTAAGAACCCTATTGTAATGTTCACCACATTGTTGAACTCTTCTAAATAAGCCCGGCATGAATTATAACTAATGCAAGTAAAATCCTGATTCTAGTATTAAATGATTCTATTTCAAAGGATTTGAATGCACAGAAAAATATAAGAACATTCATGTAAACTCATTTTTCAAGTCACTAAATACTTAATTGAGCAATCATTCCTAATGCTCATCTCTAGAGCTATTTTTTTATTTCTTTGCATTTCTCTGGTTCACCACCAACATGGAGGTCAAACACACATTATAGGGATCCTGGCTTGTGTGAACACAGGCTCTTCTAATTAGTTCCCTCCAAATTACAGTTGCTGTTGTTAAACTCCCAGTTCACCTTGAAGTGTTTCTCTATCTTACACTGGCAGCCTAACTTTAGTTTGAAACTTATGAAATTACCATTTTTGTAGGTACAAAACCTTAAAATGTTGGCAATTTCATGGGCTTCAACAAAATACAAATGTCTAACTGTACTATGTGACATAGATACTTCATTCCAGTACATGTTTAGGCATTCCTTCTAGTTAAACGTTCCCTAGTTTAGAGTCATTCTTAAAGAAGTGGTCCTCTAGGAGTTGTTTCTTATTCAGATTGGGATGGATTATCACAGTATTTCCTTTTTTGTGCCTCTTAACTCTTGGCAAAGGCTTCCTAGCCTTGGACTTAGTTCTGTCAATACCTGGGCTGTGAGCTAGTTTCTGCGAGCAAGGGGGGAGTTGGAGTGGTGTTAGTGTGAAAAGGGGAGGAAGACTCCTAGAGCAGTGATATTGTAAAACAGAGCCCTTTAAACATAAAATGTGAAGATAGATAAAATTAAAAAAATAAAAAAATAAAAAACCTCCACTTTCTGACTAAGTGCAAAGGAAATTGCATAGAAAAGAAAACAGACAGCAGGGTATTCAGCCAAACTGTATGGTAAAATCTTTGCGATCGCCATAAAGTGCGTTTGCTTTGAAGTGCACGCGTGATTCAGTGAAGGGCTCATGTTAGCAATTAGAAATCGGTTATTTGGGTCCCTGATTTCATTTGCGCCAAGAGAGAGGCAACTTTTAAGGGTGACGATAAATCTCCCTGAGCTTAAAAGGCAGAAAGGGCCAAAGTGTGAACTTTTTACTTCAGCAACGGAAGCGAGAAATCAGTGATTCATTAAAGAGGAGACCTCCTTGGAAGCTGGCAGCAGAGGAGGAAAGGACGCTAATTATGTCTTCCTTTTCTGTGCTCGCTCCGATCAGTTTATAATCTGCTGCTCTGGAGGGTTTAAAATCCTCAGCATCTTCTGCTTTCTCCCAGCCCTCTCCTCTTCTCGGAGTGAGAAGGGGGAAAAAGTCAGCCAAGCATCAGGCTCCAGGTGGCTCTCAAGTACTTCACTGCCAAAAGAAATGGGGGTGGGGGGGAGGATATCCTACGCTGGAAAACAAGTGAGAAAGGGGCTCCCCAGAAGGGATTAGTTCAGGCTGGAAGACAGCAAAATTCGGAAAGCTGGAGGATACCGTCAGCGCCGTGGCCCGCGCTGCGAGCAGGACGCTTTAGCAACGAATTTGCCAGAGCTAGAGGCGCCGGCGGCGGCTGCGGCCGCAAGAGCAGCTGCGAGGAAGGGACCTGGCAGCCCCCAAGCTGGATGCAAAGGCATCGCGCTCTCTCCTCGCTCCCCTGCTCCCCCACCCCCTTTTCTGCCCCTTTCACCCTCCCTCTCCCTGGCGTTCCCAGCAGCGTAGGGTTTCAGATGTCCCACCGCCGGTTGACCCCCTCCCCCCTCTTCTCCACCCCTGCAAATGAGGTTTGACCAGCAGAGGCAGAGCCCACCTCTGGCTTAGAATCACTGACATTTAGACTCCAGGTTTCAACCTGTTTACAAGCGGACTTTCCAAAGGAAGGGGGTGGGGGATAGGGCCATACAAAACATCAGCCGCCGTCCCCCAAAACAAAAAGTGGCTTTCGGCAGCCTTCAAATCGGCAGGCACCACTAAAAACAGAAGGGAAGAGAGGGAAGAAAACAACGGCGACTGGGTAGCTGCCTGCAGTTCTGACAACTCCAAAGGGATACACTTGTAGAAACGGCTCGCAGGCTGGGGCTCCGCAGAGAGAGGCCAGAAGGTGCCAACCGCAGAAGGGCGCAAATATCTCCCCCTATTCCCCACCCCACCTCCCTTGGGTTTTGTTCACCGTGCTGTCATCTGTTTTTCAGACCTTTTTGGCATCTAACATGGTGAAGAAAGGAGCAAAGAAGAGAACAAAGTAACTCCTGGGGGAGCGAAGAGCGCCGTGACCAACACCACCACCGCCACCACCAGCTCCTGCTTCTGCGGCCACCCACGTCCACCATTCACCGGGAGGCTCCAGAGGCTCAGGCAGCGGATCCCAGAAAGGAGCGAGGGGAGGCAGCCGGCTTTTCCAAGGAGTTATGGATGTTGGTGCATTCACTTCTGGCCAGATCCGCGCCCAGAGGGAGCTAACCAGCAGCCACCACCTCGAACTCTCTCCTTGCCTTGCACCAGGTCTTACCCTTCCAGTATGTTCCTTCTGATGAGACAATTTCCAGTGCCGAGAGTTTCAGTACAATGTGGAAATGGATACTGACACATTGTGCCTCAGCCTTTCCCCACCTGCCAGGCTGCTGCTGCTGCTGCTTTTTGTTGCTGTTCTTGGTATCTTGCGTCCCTGTCACCTGCCAAGCTCTTGGCCAGGACATGGTGTCACCAGAGACCACCAATTCTTCTTCCTCCTCCTTCTCCTCTCCTTCCAGCGCGGGAAGGCATGTGCGGAGCTACAATCACCTTCAAGGAGATGTCCGCTGGAGAAAGCTATTCTCTTTCACCAAGTACTTTCTCAAGATTGAAAAGAACGGGAAGGTCAGCGGGACCAAGAAGGAGAACTGCCCGTACAGTAAGTAACAAATGCGTGCTCCCCTCCTTCCAATTATCCACCCCCAGCCCACACGGGGGGGAAAAAATCTCTTCCAGATGTGGCCAGCTAAATATTTACGTCCCCAACCCCTGTAAAATGATTAAGTGGAATACTTTCACACTAATTCACCACCCGCCCCCCCGCCGCGTGTATACATTGTGCTGCCGCATCGCCTCCCTTAAGCGCGCTCCCTCCACATCCCCCACCCCTTGCCGCCCTGTACACCCCTTCCCTCCAGCCTGTCACTCGCCGGACCACGCAGGGCGCTCAAGAGAGTTGTTGCAGAGCAAAGATGCCCCTCTTCTCTCTCCACCGCCCTTCCCACCTCCTCCAAAGAGCTCTCTTTCCTTCCTTCTGGAAATGGCTCAAGTAAACACATTTTGTTTCTTTTCCCTGGAAATCTTGTTAAGTTTGGGACAGGCTCTTCAAGCTGAAAATAATCATCCGCTGTCAATTATAGGGGCTTTGTGGGAACTTTATTTAAGAAAGAAAAATCAATTCCACTCTCTCCCCACCCCCATCCCCTCACCCCAGCACCTCTAGATATGAGGGAAAAGCATTTTTCTGGTTTTGATTTTTGTTTTGTTTTGTTTTGCGTCCCTTATGTTAGTTTGAGTGATTGCAGTCCATGAAGTTAGCTTTTCAGGCACCACCGCTGCTATTTGTCTTCTGCCTGCCTTCTCTCTTGGTAACATGATGCTCGTGTCTGCATTGTCAATAGCGTATGCACTGCTTCGTGGTGTCCTGTTGTACTGTTTCTTCTGAAACCTCTCATATTGCAGAGCCATACTACTACAGCATTGTAAACATCTGGGGCTGGATTCACACAGACCTCACACAAATTTCATTGTCATTCTTTTATTTTCAAAGTAAAAGTCATAAGTCTGTTTCCATGGCTATAGTTTATCCTACAGTGTGACGTTTTCTCCTCAGTGTAAATTATGCCTGGGATCCATAGATTTTGTTCTTGCCTTTTCCCTCTCTCTTTCCTTCTTTCTCTCTTTCCCTTACTTCTTTCTTGCAGGGGTGTGGGCTGGTTGAGGGAGAGAGAACTAGAAGAGGAGGGGTGGATATTGTGTCTCTTCTTGAATCAACCCAGCAAAGCCAAATTACTCTGTTGACTTCCTTTCTCAGTTATTTTCAAGTGGTGAGACTTATTCATCCCCTGTTGATTATTATGTGAAAGGAACCCAAGACTTTGTAATGGCACACTGAAAACAGTAAACAATGGTGTTTAAACATCTTTAGTGACCATTTGGCATTATCTCAGTGGTAAATTCCAAGTCATCTTTAAAGGAGACATTTTTGTGTTCGTTTTTCAGGAATTCTAAGCATAGATTTTCAGCTAACTTAAATACATGAGTCAAGCATTTAAAGATTCCTTGGTTTAGAAAGTACCAAGTACTAATGGGAATGACAGTTGACCAGAATTTAGCATTTTATTTTTGAATACAAATTTACAATAATTAAGAATTTAGTTTTCTTCTGTGGGGATGCACACACACTCAACATTAACTTCTGTTCCTCCTCAGCCACTGGTTCTATTTACTAAAATTCACAATATGTTTATAAGTAATAAAAATACGTGTAGAAGTGCTTTTAAAGTGTTTCATTTTATGTTTCATACTAGAGATAATTAAGTACTACATTACCTGATTCATAGAAAGTAGCTGAAATAATGTCATAATGATGACAATTATTTTTGCTTAAAAGTCATTTGTTACCTGAATTCATTAGATCCTATGTTTATAACCTTTAAGGTTTTTGATTAAAATTTTAAAAACTTTATTTTCTTCTAAAATAAAATAGTTGTGGTGTCATTCAGTTAGGAGGATGGGGAAGAAGGTATCCAAACATTGGGCTAGACAGAGTGAGCTGGAAATTTTAAAAAAAGAAATTCCGATGGACTGATTTCTTATTTTTCATGGAGGAAACTCAAAAGAATATGATAAAGTCTCAGAGTGTTATCTTTGAGCAAACTTTTTTCTTTTTAACAAATGTTTGTGCTATACTTTAAAGGTCTTTATAATATGACTTAAGAACAAATCTGCTGTTTTAGTTTACACAACTTAAATTGCTATTTTCTAGAATCATAATCACGTGTGATTAGTTGCATAGTAAAATGATTTCCACAGTAGAAACTGAATTTCATCTTTACAATAAGAACTACCTGCAAAGAAGAAAAGTATACAATATATATTGTATAAAAGGGGTGTAGAAAAGTTCCATCCTAACTGTCCAAAATATACTAATATTTTATTTTCTGTGTGATAGCATATATTATTTGTTATAATGACAAACTAAATATCTTATATGGTAATGCAATCTTAATCAATGGTTAAAAGTGAAAGGGGAGGGGTTCACTCCACTAAATATTGTCAAATCATAAATAATTTAGGCTTTCCAAGAACATCTGTGTCAAAACATAGCAAGTGAAAATTAGAGATTGAAAAAGCCTTAATTTCACATGTGGCCAGGTAATCTAAATGCTGCTACAATTTCCAACTGGACTGATTCAGCTGAACTACATGGTAGTAAGATATTGTCTAAATGTTGCATAATAACATGTGAACAAATTTTTGCCATGCCTACAGGGTAGCCCACCAGCTGTCCACTAAATGGTAGCTTGTTAAATACTAGGATCTCTAACCTCTGAAGAGTGTCAGTTCCTTTTCCATAAACCACATTTCAGTAATATTTGCCTAAACAAGTTATTAATTATTCTCAATACACAAATCTGTTCTTTTGAGGTTTGCTTATTTGAAGATTAATTTTCTTTGTTACTTTTGACCCTAGTATTATTGCTGCTAAATTGCAGTAACAGCTTATCTAAAAGGTTATATGTTTTTGATGTCCTGGATAATTAAAAAACTGTTTTACTGGCTTTTTGCCAGCAGAATGCTAGCAAAAGGAAAGTAAGACAATCATCCATAAGTATTGCAAAATCATTTTTAACTTCTACTTTCAAAGCTAGTTCCCAGAAATTAGATGGTTCTAAAAAGACCGCATATACTAACAAAGTTCTTCTCTATATGGGTGATTATTATAATTTTTGAGGGGGGGTGCTATACTTTTTGTTTGCTTCTTTGCCATGATATGAGAGTAGAATAAAGAGAGCAGACATGAATTATTTTTCTCCTGCTAGAAGTCTGAGAAAGCTTGAATAATTTAGAATAGCTGTGGTGTATCTGTCACTAGATATGTGTAGGCTCATTGAGGTTTTTGTTTTATCATTCTTTACATCTTGAGCTTTGCCCTTGAAACCTTACCACTCGGCTTTAGTTCTGACCTCTTAGAAAGGCTGGATACAGCTGTTAGGTATCCTTGCAAGTTGGACCAGTTGACTTATTTCTGGATGTGAGTAAAACAGCTGTGAGCTTCTCCCATGGTTGTCATTTGTAGAAAAGAGGGATCTAGTGAAAGGAAAATGTATACCTAAACTTGAGACAATTAAGAATAGATATTCCAGAAAGGAAAAGTCACAAAAAAGGCTCCTGGGCCTTTCTAGGAAAGAAGTATGGAAGGCAATAGAGAAATCAATATGTAAAGAGTATGCTGTATATGCTTTCTCTTTAAATACACACTTCATTCAATAATCATAATAGTCCTATAACTATCAATATTTTTCAAATTTGAAAACTAATACTGAAAAAAGTAAATTGTCCAAGGTCATTCAACTAGAAATGGGCAGAACCAGGATTCAAGCCCCAGCCTATTGGTTGTATCTCTCCTTTCTTATTGTACCTTTATGCTATTTCCAACATTAATATCAATTTATTAGAATTGGACACCTGAGATCTCTAAAAAACAAATTATCCAGATCCTTACCTGCTTCTTGCTGTGAACACCGTTCTCTGGAAATAAATTGGAACAGAAATAAAATGACAATTGCAGAAAAACAAATACATTAAACGTGTCATTGCAGGTGGCCACATGATATCAAACAAGGCTAGTGTATTCGCTAGGTAAACTCTCTCTTTTGATATTTGGGAATATAATTGCTTACGGATACATACAAAATTCACATACATCAATCTCACTTATGTTAACAGAGGTCATTAGGAATACATGACTATTTAAGAAAAATCCATGAATGTCATTTTATATAGTAATTGTTTATAGCTGAGGGCCAAATGTTTAATTGTTGCCTTGTGTAATAAAATAATTTGATTGTAAATACCTGTGAGAAGCTGGACTGTTGTAGAAACTTCTGATATATGATTCTAAAAAGGGTGACATCTTAGAGACTTAAGCTATACATATTAAGAAAATTTTAAAATAAACCTGCAAATCAAAAGGTACTTTACCATATAAAATGACAGATTATTGTCTGGGATTATTACTTTTTAACCAGGACTAGAGCTTATTGTAGGAAGCTAAATGAAGTGAGAAAAAATAATTGTTGAGGAAAATAGGAACTCAAAAATTATCCCCTAATAATGACACAAGAGTTTTCTGTGAAGAAAAACTATAGACAATTTATGGCTTCCACTGATATCTTATTTCAGTTGTGGTTGTTTCTAGAATTTGGTTGCATAATTTATAACCGGCAGCATTTAATCATGAGCATTGAGGATTTATGAAGGTGGAAGACACTGTATTTAATGTTTACATGACATTGTCCTGTTACCTTTACTGCATTTCTACCATATGGAACCTCCAATTTGATGGATTTATCATAAATCTATTAAAAATGCACAATTCAAGAGAGTTTCCTCTTCATAAACCTGATTTATAACCACCTACAAGGAGAAATCTAAGGAAACAGTTGTCAGGAATTACATGCCCATATTGGAGCATGAGAATTCAGAGACACCAAATTCTAGGTCTTGGATATTTCAGTAACCTATTACCTAAAGGTGTGAATGACTCTTTAAAAGCAAGTGTTTTCAAAATGATGTTTAGGCACAGAATTTTAACAAAAGAAAAAGAAGTAGAAGAAGCGTGTCTTATAGGATCAAATAAACTCCACTGTCTTC